AGCAGCGAGGCGAGGGCTGGAAGTGGGGCGGGGCGTGAGCGTGGCCGGTGGCTGGGGGACAGAAGGCGTGAAGACGGAGACTGGCATTTCCCCTTCTGTGTACAAGTACCAACCAATTCCAGTGAGGTCAGCTTTCAAACATTAATCAGAGCCGGGCCGGTTCTAGCATCGCTTTTCCTCGAAGTGTCTGGCACTTCCTTTTCTTGTCAGCCACTGGGCACTTGACTAGTCAATTGATTTAAATTATCCATAAACCACGTACTGTATAATAATACCTGCTTCCTAACCAACCCGCAGGGATATTAGGACAATTAATTAGATGGTATTTAAACGATAGAGCTTGTTGCTTGAGAGAAAAGCTATATAAACTCAAAGGTGTTCTTGCTATTGATGTACTATTTGACATCATTTTCCCTCGTACTTTCCCGACACGTGGAGAGTGTGTTGTTAGACACCCGAAAAGTCATCATGGGGATTTCCTCTCTGGGTTGGAAAGCTAGACTGACCAGATGGTCTTCAAAGTGCATGTTAACTCTAAATTCTATGTTTTTACGAAAGAGGAAATGGAATGATACTTAGGTGAGAGAGTCATCTCCATATTACAAGTTTTGGTAAACTTACAGAAACAAATAGAAAAGTTTTATCTCATGCACGTAACCCTGCTTTACAGTTTTGCACTGCAGGACCCTGTTCCACCCTATGGTTGAAATTTCTTCTTTTAAGTCGGAAGTGGCGACTTGCTCTCTCTCTCTATTTCCGGGTGGCTGGGAACCGTGGTCCGAAGTTGGGGGACGCCAGCCTTTCCTGGACTCCCAAGCCCGCGGTTCCTTTGGCACTACCTGCCTTGTGGCGCCACCTTCTGGGCTGTGCGTGGTTGCGGCGGGCCCAGGAGACGGTCTAATCGTGCCGAGGCGCCAGTCTCTGAAACCCCACAAAAGAACAAAACAGTAATTAAAAGCCACAAAATTGTGCTAGTGCGCGCCATCTGAAGCACCCCCTTCCTAAAGACATAACGTGTAGCTGAAAGAACTTGTTACAACAACTGTCTAATGGAAAACAAGTTGATACTTTGAAAAATATGATCTTTGCTCGTCTTCCCCAGAAAAAGCAAATGTGTAATTAAAACTACAGCAGCCACACAGCTCAGCCTCCGCGGAATAATGAGGAAGGTAATCCGCCTTCAAATCTGCCTGGATTTCGTTCCCAGCCTTCCTTCTGGTTAATGGAGAAGGGTGAGCTGCTTAGAAAGGCGTTGGGAGGTGGGGCTTACTTACCACCACAGGACCACACTGCCTCAGCGCTGCACACAGCCTGCTGCTCTGCGGGCCCCAGAAACAAAATTAAGCTCTAGATATTGAGTCAGATTGCCTTTTGGTGTCTGGGCTCCAAATTCCAAGTCTTTTTGTCCCCATAGTGGAAGTTGCTTTGACCAAATATAGAAACTACCCAGAAAATGAAATATGAAAGATCCGTTTGCAATTCTCTCGCCTTCTCGGTGCTCCTTTGTTCTCACCCAAGCATGTCCTCCAGACTTTTCCGCGATGTAAATTTGTTGCATTTTATTATCTATGTGAACCTCCATTAACAGCCTAAAGTGCAGGCCAGCTGAAATCCAGAAAATGGCATCTTCCTGCTCTGAGAGGCATTCTTTCCTGCCTCGAGATAGTAGCTCTGGGAACCTGCATGTTCTGAATCTCTGTGGGTTCCTTCTAAAACTCAAAGACACTGGGAGAGGGCGGGGGTTTGTTGTATGGGAGCCTCCCATTTCCACCTTTCCAGGACCAGACCGGTCCTGCTCTCATGCTGACACAGCAGGAACCAGCTGTACAGAGAGTGGATGACTCTCAAGGCTCTGCCCTCTGCTGCCCTGGCATCCCCCAGCCACACCCTCATGTCTCCTTTGCCTTCAGCTCAAAGACTGTCTCAGATTTACCGTCTTTATGGGTCCCTTGCTCTACCTATCTCTCCATCATCTCCCCCATGAACTTGAGGGTCTCAGTCAGCCACTTCCCTCCCACCCACTGTGCCAGGCACTGTGCCAGGTGCTGCTAAATTCTGTCCTCCAGTAGCTTACAGTCAAGTGGAAAAAGCAGATATATTGCCATAAATGAATAATAATGGGTAGCATTTAGTTATTGAGAGTTTACTGAGCACCAGGAGTTCTGTCAAGCCCTTTGCCTTCCTTATCTCACTGACCCCTGGGTCCTTTGTGGTGGGTACAAAATTATTCACATTGAGGCAACCAAGGCTTAGCGAGACCAAATCACTTGCTTTGAGGACAGAGACAGGACTGGAACTCGGGTCTGGGCCACAGAAGCAAGGCCACTGCGGATCCAGGCTGGGTTTTTGGCCTGGGGAATTGCTGTAGAAGCCACTCCACACCCACCTTTACCTGATTAGTTGTGTGTATGGAGGGAGGGAAGGGAGGACTGGGTGTGGTGAGCACAGGGGTCAAGTGCAAAGGGACACTTACAGTCTGAAGTCTAGTGCACCCCTCTGGCCCCAAAAGTGGACTAGAGGAGATATTTCTCCTCCTGGAGACCAGCAGACCCGCAGGGGCCCGTCGCAGGAGGGATCCCCAGACCGACCCTGGGAAGATGCAGAACAGTCTTGAGGGTCATGGAGTGGTGGGGAGGCAGGCACCCCTGGGCCCGCAGGCGAACCCGAGTTTGAAAGGGATGTTTTGCACCTGCTGCAGATTAGCTGTGCTGCCTGCTGGAGTGTGAACTAAACCCAAAGGGCTTTGGGAAAATGGGCACACACTCAACAGTCACAGCCAGGACCCTTCAGCGGTTGGGTCAGGGCATTGGGTTGTCAGTTCAAATGGAACCAATAATATCAATCTACAACTTAGCTATGTAATAACATGGGCAAGAAGAACACAGCTGAGGACTGAGAAATAAGCAAAAAGAATGTCTTAAAAAAAAAAAGAATGTCTTGAAATGGTCCAAAACAACATCTCAAAGTCCTCTTAAGCTTGTATACTCTCCTCAAAGGAAAGCCATTTGAACCCTTTTAGTGGGAAGTTTCCTGTTTTATTCTGTTTTCCTCTTTTAAGTTATTTCATTAACTAGAGGCCCGATGCACGAAATTCATGCAAGAGTAGGCTGCTGGCACTGGCTTCCCTCTGGCACCCGGGATCCCGGCTTCCCTCACAGCCCCGGCTTTGGACATCCGGTCTAATTAGCATATTGCACTTTTATTATTACAGATAGTACTTCTTGCCTTTGTACTGTCTTTACCTTGGCTCATCCCGCTAGCTTAAGTACCGTGGATCCGAAAGAGACTGTAGTAGGGAGTGGGCTGGTCATCTCATGACAGCTCCTAAGCACAATAAGCACGTGCCCAAGGCAAGAGGAACACTGACATGCAGGGGAGGGCCCACGTGGCAGGGTGACAAAATCTCTGCAACCCAGAACCTTTAAAAGGAAACACATATGATTTGGCTTAGACCTGCCTGAACCTCACTAACGATCATTTTAAAACTTATGTTCCCAACAATAACAACCAGCTGTGTTAACCTATTTCTATCCGTGGACTGAATGCACCTAGAAATCAAATGGTTTGACTTCTATGTTCGGCTCCCAATTTAATCTCTGGTTTTCACAGATAAAAGATGTTCTGACTTTTTCTGCAATTTGCTGACAAAGTCATCACACTCTGATTCCAAGCTCATATTAGTTACAGCAGCTAAGTTGCTATATTAAAAAAAAAATAGATACCAGCCTGGCCAGTGGTTGGACAGCAACCTGTGATTCCTGGTCAGGGCACATGCCTGGGTTGCCGGCTCAATTCCCTGTGAGGGGCCTACAGGAGGCAGCCAATCAATGATCCTCTCTCATCATTGATGTTTCTATCTCTCCCGTCCTCTCTGAAATCATCTCTGAAGGTCTCATCCTGGTTCTCTTGTTCTCTTCTAACTAGAAAACAAGAGACTGTGTGTGATGTAAGAGAAAAGGAGAGACAGAGAAAGGAAAGCAGACGTTACTGCGTTTGGAGAATCAAGTAAAGACTTGAGGTATTCAAGGGCGGGTGGGAAAAAAGGACACATATGTAATACCCTTTGTAATACTTTTAGCAAAAAAAACAAATAAAAAATAAAAAAAAAGACTTGAGGTATTGATTCTGATAATGCAGACACAAATCTGGGTTTGACCAAATTATCTGATTACCACATCACAATATCCAAGCGATTTCCTCACTTTGGTCTCAAGTCAGGGAAACAGTATCATAGAAATTGACATTTTGTCCACCGTTCAGAGCAGACTGATGGCACTCTTTATAGTGCTCTGAGAGGAGTTAAGGGGAAACTCAGAGCGAGTTTGGGGGAATAGAGGCGCCTCCTTTCTGCCAAACTACCTCCTCTGCCTCAGGGCAACTTCCTTCCTCTTTTCTGCTTTCTGTTTTCTCTCTCAGCCCGAGCATTCTTTTAATCTTCAGGAACTTAGAGAAGGATGGGGAAGGAGGGGAGCTCAGTGTCTCTGCTCTGAGACCTTCTCGCTTTGGGTCCCGTGCCCACCAGGTTGTCCCCGAGTTTATCAAGTCACACTGTCTCCTCTGTGGAAGCCTCCCAGCAACCCTTGTCAGGCAGTGATAGAACGTGTGTGTGTGTGTGTGTGTGTGTCATCGTTCCCATTGTGTGGATGGACACTGAG